CCGCCCGCGCCGGCCCCACGTGCGATCTCGGCTTTTAAAGGTCGGGGTTGGCCCCGGCCGCAGCGCCTTCCCCACGTGCGTCCCCCGCGCTCGCGAAGGGAGAGGCAGAGCTGTCCCCCAGCGCGGCCGGGCCGTGCGGGACTCGCACCGGGCGCTGCTTCGCTCCAGCCGCTTCCCGCTGCCGCTCATTCATCTCCCGCGCGGTGGGTAAACAGCGCTCCGTAACCCAGGCCTCGGCCAGACTTGGTCCAGGGGAAGTGCCCATTAGAAAATATCTGCCAAACGGCGGCTTTCGCGTCTCTTTCATTTATATCTGCCCTTTCGGACGTTCTTTAAGGTTTTTGGAAGGTGGCATGTGCCTAGATAGGCTATTTCTATTGATATTCCAGTACTCTGTAAATTACTTTATGTTTCTTCAAATGTGTTGGCTGTAGCAAATGTGGCTTATTACTTATTAATTAAATTATTATTGACTTATAATTTAAGTTGGCTTGTAGAACAGTGTAGTGGGATGTGAGCTGCGGTTTCCAGGGGTAAACTCGCTTCAAGGGCTGTTTTCTCAAACTTTGCTGCACTTCAGCTGCAGCACACCCTGTAAAACTGGTGTTTTGAGGCCTTTTAAGTTTTGTGACATTTAATAGAAAAACGTGGGAACTTCTACAGTAGATCACTAAATAAAGAGAATACCCAGGTGTTTTGTCAGGCTTGTGAATGAAGGGATATTGACACGTTTTCGTTTGTTTTTCAGAAAAAGAGCAACAGGAAGCAATTGAACACATTGATGAAGTACAGAATGAAATAGACAGGTAAACATTATCTAACTTTTAAAATCTTTTAGTAGAAACTGACAAAAGTGAAAGTGTTTAGTAAAGTGAACACGTAGTAGTACTCATTGTCTTTGATCTCTGCCAAGATATACCTGTGTTCTGACTTGATTAGAGACATTAAAATAACAAAAGTGTCCTGGTTTCTTGGTTAACTGTCTATAATTAAAGAGGTAGAACTTGAGTTTAAAATTTTAAATTAATTGTGGTATTTTTGATAATAGAAATGTATTTCGCGCTGACTTCTCAAGTTAATGTGTAAGCTATTTGGCTAAAGTATTTCTCTGTTAGCAAGCAGAACCAAACACTTGGCTGAAAAACCAGCTTTTATTATACATTTTTATTATAATATTCATGTGCTTGTGCAGTAACACACAGAAAATGTCTCTGAGATGTTAATTTTGTATGCCAAAGCTCTTGGGGCTGTGGGTTCTGTGTCAGCCCCTCCCTGCATGTTCTCTCCATGCCCAGTGCCCTACAAGGATTGCAGGTGACTGTTGGAACTGTGAACATGTGAAGCTGTTGCAGTATCAGGGCTTTGCCTTTTACAATAACAGTTCACTTTAAGTCTTCAGATTTTACTTGGACAGAGTGCAGAATTGCTTTGCTGTAGCTGCCTAAAAGTTACAGGGAGCAGGTGATAGGGCTGTGTTACTCATCTGCAGGTTTTATGCAGACAAAATGTTCAAGAGGTAAAACACTGCTTTGCTTTGCATAAAGGTCCACCTCTGCAATGTTCAAGGTGTTCAGAGGGTTCCATTCAAACCAGTGAGATTGCTTCTGGCAGAGTGGTTTTTTAACAGTTCTTACAGCTCTGAGCTTCTGGGGTTTTTGGGACACTTCATCTGCAGAATATGGCAGACTTATCAAACTCTTTCAGCTTTTAGTTAACTGCTCTGATGTGTGCTTAAATCCCAGTTCTCTCCATGTGGTTAACATGGCTCTTTCTATTACAGACTGAATGAACAAGCCAGTGAGGAAATTTTGAAAGTAGAACAGAAATACAACAAACTCCGCCAACCATTCTTCCAGAAGAGGTCAGAATTGATCGCCAAAATCCCGAATTTCTGGGTAACAACATTTGTCAACCACCCACAAGGTACATTCCTAACAGCCCTTTTTTTTCCCCTGTAAATTTAGTGTTTGCTTGCTTGTTATGTGAGTGTCTTAAAGATCTGAGGGTCTTGTTGAGTTGTTACTAAGCATATAAAACACTTCCTTCCCGTCCTAGATTGCATTTTTAAAGCTTTTTCTTTCTTGCACTTGTTGACCAAAGGAACATCTTTTTTACTAATCATAAATCTTCTTTCTGCATTTTAAATTGCGAGTTTCCTACTTTTTTCAGTTCATGGGAAACTCAAAGTGTAAAAAAACAACAAAAAAATTATTCTAGATTGCTTGAGTGTTTTCTACCTGGAAGTGGGCTCCTTGGGACTCTTGACAATAAACTTCCTAGAAAATAAGTTTGTAGACTGCTTAGATTGGGCAAACTACATGCATGAAAATCTGTTTCAGAGGGAAGGGTGTGTATGTGTGGGTAGGCTGTTGGCTGGTAACTTGAAAAGAAAAAGCCATGAGAAGTTGGCTTGGACAAAAGTGTTCGTTTTTAGATCTCCCTGGCTATCAGTTTCCTGTGTTTTGCTTGCCTGTTTCATGGCTTTGTTAATGTGGGATTCCTCCTTCTCTCTCAGTATCTGCACTCCTGGGAGAAGAAGATGAGGAAGCACTTCATTATTTGACCAGAGTTGAGGTGACAGAATTTGAAGACATCAAATCAGGTTACAGAATAGATTTTGTAAGTACTTTAAATGATTCAGTTACTTGTGATTTTATTGTCTTTTTTTTTTTTTTTTTTTAGTGTAATTGCATGTTGGGTTGTAGTTTATAACTGAAATCTCTGCAGTTACCTGTTTAGTACCAGATTTGACTTGATATGTGTTTCTATTCTTTGGGTTCTAACTCTTTGCTTTCCACTCTGCAGTATTTTGATGAGAATCCCTACTTTGAAAATAAAGTTCTCTCCAAAGAGTTTCACCTCAATGAAAGTGGAGACCCATCTTCAAAATCGACTGAGATCAAATGGAAATCTGGAAAGGTATGTATTGCATCGGGGAGAGCCCAAGTGTGACTAAGTGAAAACATTACCAAGTGCATTAGCTTGTCTCTTCCTTAGCCAGGATATAGACTACTCTGTGTTGTTTACTTAAAATAACTATTAAATGAAGAATTCCAAGAACAACAGGTTTAAGGCGATCAGATAGCAGTGTGTGATCTTGTTTTATATTTTCCACTATTTCCTCAACTTCCTTTCCAGATGCCACATCTTTTGTAGAATCTGCATCCACAATAATCTGGGCATATCTGTCACCCAGGCAGTGTTCAAACATCATTAATTTACTGCAGTTCATTTCTGTAGAAGTACTTAAGTGTTATCGTGAAGATTTTGAACTGAGTTTTTAAATGTAGAGCTGAGGCTTGCAGTTAAATTGCCACTTGTTTTGTCACTCTCAGACCAAGGAGAAAATTTAATGTTTTTCGTATTGAGTACTAGAACTTTTGTACCAGAAATTGAATTCCTGTACAGACCAGTCGAGTGATCTTTACAATGCACCACAAAATCTGTGTGAATTCTGCTATTGTTCTTCCTTAAACAGTCTAAACCTATAAATGTTGTCATTCCGTCAGGAGAAAAAAAAAAAGAACATTAGAATTGTGGTGTAACAATATGGTCAAAGAAATAATTTATTTAATTTCAGACTTAACAAAAAGATTGTTGCAAACTTACTACACTTCTTTTCTAGGGTAAGGTGATAGATACAGACCTTATATGTGTTCTTGTGACCATGTGTTTTAGCAGTTTGTGTGGGGTTTTTTTCACTTACTACTAAAGACTTCAGAGTGGGAAATCATAGGCAAAAAGGCCTAGATAGGTTTTTATCTCCAAACGAGTACAGAGCTTGGAGATGTGGAGACTTTCTTAAATTTGGTATATGTAGTAGTTGCTGCAATTACAACTACTCTTGAGTGTTATTTAGGCATTGTGAGGCCTTGTAAGTTCAGTGTGTCATTGAACACTTGTCATACTTGTGTTTCCCCGAGATAGGGAAATGTAAAACTAATGTGAGAGTCTGAGTTTTCAGTGTTCCAGTGGAGGTTGTTGAAAGAAACAAGCAGGTTTACTGTTCTCTCATGTTCATGAGAAATGCAGTATCTTCTGTCAGTTGTTTGAGTTTCAGATGTGTTTTACAGACTTACCCTGAAAGAGGGAGGGGAAGGTGACTTCTTAAGGTTGTTTAGACAAGTACATTTCCAGGTGGTACTTATAGGGAAAAAAAATGCCATAGACAACTTTAGGGAACTTCTTAACTTTCTTTTCAGGACCTGACAAAACGTTCAAGCCAGACACAGAACAAAGCCAGTAGGAAGAGGCAGCATGAAGAGCCAGAAAGCTTCTTCACCTGGTTCACTGACCACTCTGATGCAGGAGCTGACGAACTGGGAGAAGTCATCAAGGATGACATCTGGCCAAATCCCCTACAGTACTACTTGGTAGGTAGAGCCCTGAGCCAGGCATCTGCACCCACAACAGCTCTGTGAAAGAGTGAGTTTGATCACTGTAGTTGATGTTGTAAATGTGTCTTTAAGGTTCCTGATATGGATGATGAAGAAGGGGAGGGAGAGGAGGATGATGATGATGATGAAGAGGAGGAAGGATTAGAGGATATTGATGAAGAAGGAGATGAAGATGAGGGGGAGGAAGATGAAGATGATGATGAGGGAGAGGAAGGAGAGGTGAGTAATCCTGCCATTCTTGCCATTCATGTGGTGTTTGAGAGGGATCTTGTAAGAATACCAAGCCATTGTGACAAAGGTGAACTGGTTCTTTTCTGCACCCCAGGGTGTGAGAACTGTGACTGCATTAACTTGAGCAGTTTCAGGTAGTAATAAGTATGTTTGTGTGTATGAGAGACAGTGGAAATACCTGGTTTCAGTAAATTTGTAAGGGAAGTGCTCTAGGAGAACTAGTACATTTATGTGGCAAAATTCTTACTTCATTACTGAGCATTCTAGCAATGCTTTACATATAAATGGCTTTTGTGATGCACCCAGTAATCCTTTACACTTGTTGGTTTATTTCTGCTTATGGCCAGCCTAGCTAAGACTTTGTTAGGTTCAGGAATTAGAATTCTGCTTTGGTAGTAAGTGGGATTCCAGGCTCAGCATCCAAGGTGCTGGGAACTTAGTTCAGAATGTCTTTGTTTCTCGGAACTGGGCGTGGTGTGTCTGACTTCCAGCAGCACAAAGTAAGAGCAGTGAGAGAAGGGCTGCTCTGGTTTATAACCTGGAACTTGGCATGTAAAAGGTGAAGCATTTTGAAGTTTTAAATGAGGGGGAAAAGATGACCCCTTCACTTTCCACATGTTAAAATCATGTCAGTGCTTGTAGTGACTCTTAAGTCACAGTTTCTCAAACGTCTGATGTGTTTTCCTTGGACACCCATGTAGTGGGTGAATTCTTTGTGGTCAGTAGCTGGGCACCCAGGGCAAGTGTTACCATCCTCTAGTGAGGGAAGAGATGATCATACAGCACCATCAGTAGCCCTGTAAAAAGTTCTGGTCACTGCATTTGCTATCTGAAGTTTAGTGATTAGATTTATTTAATTGTTGCTTATCTTTCAACAGGAGGATGAAGGAGAAGATGACTAATTGAACACTGATGGATTCCAAACCCCCTTTTTACCTTCTTAATTTTTCTCCAGTCCCTGGGAGCAAGTTGCTGTCTTTTTTTTCTTGTGCTCAGTCGCCTTGTTCTCTTGAGGTCTCTTTTTCTCTCCTCTACACCATGGTTCACAATTTATTTTGGGAAAATACCTTGAGCAGAATACAGTGGAAAAGAATCTACCAGTTTCTGTTTCAAGTTCATTTTTATCCCTTTCTGTCTCAAAACAAAAACTGTTTATAAATTCAACACACCATGTTCTGTGGGAAAAAAGAAAACCTTCTGCTCCCTTCACTCTGCTGGAAGCTGAAGAGTGCTAGGCCCCTGTGTAGTAGTGCATAGAATCTAGCTTTTTTCCTTCTTTCTCTGTATATTGGGCTCAGAGATTACACTGTGTCTCTATGTGAATATGGACAGTTAGCATTTACCAACATGTATCTGTCTACTTTCTCTTGTTTAAAAAAAAAGAAAAAAACAACAAAAAAATAAAAATAAAAATGGGGTTATAGAAGGTCAGCTGGGGTGGGTTTCAGATGTTTGGGTGGGTTAAGTGGGCATTTTGACAACATGGCTTCTTCTCCTTTGGCATGTTTAATTGTGATGTTTAACAAACATCCTTGCAGTTTAAGATGACACTTTTAAAATAAAATCTTCTCCTAATGATGACTTTGAGCCCTGCCACTTGATGGAGAATCAGCAGAACCTGTAGGATCTTATTTGGAATTGACATTCTCTATTGTAATTTTGTTCTTGTTTATTTTTAAATTCTTTTTTTTTTGTTTGGTTTTTTTTGGTGGTTTTTTTCTTTTCTTTTTTTTGGTTTTTTTTTTTGTTTCACTGGAAAGGAAAGAAAGATGCTCAGTTTTAAACGTTAAAGTGTACAAGTTGCTTTGTTACAATAAAACTAAATGTGTACACAAAGGGACTGGTTGGTCTTCACTGAAAGAAACAGTTTTTATATCCTATTTAGAACTTGCTTGTAGTTTCTTGGCATTTTTGGGGGCATTTTGTCAGTATTTCTGTAGTGCAATGCAGCCTTGTGGTTGTGTGGACTGAACCAGTTCATGTAGTTTCCACTATTTCAGTACCTGTAAAGTGTTTCCTTTGGTAGTTCCTACTGCACACTGACTCTTGAGTTCCCTGCAGGGTCATGTGCTGTGTGTGAAGACACAGGTGTATATTCATGTTTTGCAAAAAGAAAAGTCACTTGATTTGTAGAATTTTTAGTAATTTGCCGTACTGTATCTCCAGTACATCAGTTTGCATGAAAATACCATGCAAGCTCAAAATAAAAAGACCCAAGGGGTGGTCTTAAAATATTTGGTTGGTTTTGTAAGTTTTTTCAGTTGAAAACAAATCTTAATTGCAAGCTAATTTGGGGGCTGTTTCAAAGAGCAAGATTCTTAGTAAAGTTCATGTATAAAAAGTTGCTACTTCACTGCTTTTTTTTTCCTTGGTAGCAGCATGTATATGTGCTTTAGATACACTGTACTCTCATTTTAAGAGACTGCATTTGACAAACTTGTAACAATTTCACATAAGAGGTTGTTGGAACTGGTATTCCACAAAATGTAATGGAAGTTGTTTTAACATGCTTTGCTTTTGAAATATTTAAAAAAGTGTTCTATCAGCTCATCTGAAATTCAAACAGCTCTTTGGATGTGTAGAAAAGACTGTCTTCTGGGAAGACTTGTTATATTCTCTGATTCCTTTTCCTCACAGAATTTGCTGTAGTCAAATTCAGCTTTTTTTTGATGCTTAAGAATACACTTGGCAGAACAAGATCAGTGTCTGTTTGAGACGTGCACAAATAACATGTGTGAGGGAAAACATTCTGTAAGTGTGTGGTCCAGCTTGGATTCAATCCAGTTATCAGAGACAATGCAACGTCCAGTCTCATGTGATCAATGCAAAAATAAGACAACCATGTACTTTATTCCATCTCAACAAAAGCTTCTGCTCTCATCCTGCTTTGCAGAGCCAAATACAACGTTGATCAGTAATGGTTTCTTACCATCTAGAGAGAGAAGGAACAAAACCCATGAAGTCCTATAAATTTTAGTGTTTTTTAATTTGATTCCTTTTTGTTGTAAGATTGAAAATAGCTTCCTGTTGTGGTGGAGGGTCAATGTGCTGTTACTTGCCATGATGCCTCATTACTTAATTTTTATGTAGTCGTAATTGTAGTTCCTCAAGGAAAATTATCTTTTGCTAGTCTTGAATGCTTTAGGAAAAATGTTGTGCCATTGTTGTTCCATCCCGGTTGGTTACTAGCAGAAAACTTATAAAAACTGTTTTGAAAGTAATCAAAGCTTCAGGCTCTGTAAAGTCAAATACCAGGAATAAGAAATGAGAAGTCTGGATAATTAAATGCTACTCAAGAGATTTTTCTTGTGCATTCTTTAGGATTTTACAGGGTGCCAAAATACTCTTGCTACTGTACTGATAATACTGAATTTGCTGTGAAATTTGAGGGTTTACTCCTGGCAATGGCTAAAGAGTAAACTGACATGGTAAAAGAATAAACCATATTAGTTAAGTGTTAATTTTTTTTTTTTCCTAGCATGGAAATGATTAGGGGTTAACACATTTCTTTGCAATGCTGAAGAAATACTACAGCTGGCCATTGTGTGCTCTGACTGTTCACTTAATGTCTAATTTGGCTGAATATATGTAATGGGTGTCCATTTTTTTACTGGATTTATTTTATATGTGTATAAAGAGCTTTTAAAAAGACATCCACCTTGGATAATAATGGGAGATCTGTTCTTATTAAATATCTATTATTAATTCCCCACTGCTTGAGCTCCTCACATCCAGTTAATCCCACCATGTGAAATTTGTTACAGGTGGTAGCTGACTTCAGGTTTTTTAGCCTGAATTTCCAGGGTTAGAACATAGAGTTGTCAGCAATTTAATAAAGGTGAAACTGCTGTGCTGGGGCTATATGGCCTAACCATCTCAAAGGTTATTTTTAAGCTTAACTGCTATAAAATGGAATTTTTTGTCTGTAATTTCTAGTGCCAAAGGAAACAACTACATCTGAGTGTGTAAATACAGTTAGAAAGGTTTGAGGTTTTTAAAAGAGATTATCTGTGTGCTTATTCATACTTTGTCAACATAGTTTCTGTCCCTGTAAACAAGCATTATCTGAATCAATTTCTTAGTCATTTATGATATTCATTTGAATCTGTAAGCTCTTTGTACCACACTAAACCAGGTGCATAAGGATAGTACTATGTTTATTGGATACTGTTCCTGAATTTTGAAGCCATGTTGGTTTTTTTGTTTTGGTTTGGTTTTTGTTTTTTAAAGAGAATGAAATCAATGAAATAATTTCTCTGCTGTACCTTCAAGCTATCCTTCTGTTTGAAGGAATTAAAATACATTTAACTGTTACTTGATGTTACCATTTCTAAGAGTCTTTTTCAAAAGAATCAGTTTTTTTAGTCCCAAACTCGGCACAGTCTTTCACGGGTGAGGTGGACAGGGTTTGCTTCTCCTTTATGGAGAAGAGTGAGGGGAGGTCACAAGTGACTGGTCCACGACACTTCCTGCGGGAAACAGATTTATGCTTAATGTCCTTCCTCCCTCTCCTGGATTAAAAATTGAAAATTTTAAGACTTTTTCTTGATCATCACGTTCTCCGCGTGAATGTGCTCTCTCGGGTATAATGGAGGATAGCGGCTGCCGGCTCAAGGTCGGGACGCACCTTTGGTCCCCGCTCTGCTCCAGGAATCCCCAAAGCGTCCGCAAAGTCCCCAAAGCTGGGCAGGACCTGCGCCAGGATCACCCCCGGCACCAGGGGATGGTGCCCTGCGGGCTCCTGGAAGGGCTGAAGGGGCACTTTGTGCTCCCATCTCTGCCATTTATCTGCCCACAAAACAGGGGTTTGCCGAATGGGCAGGAACTGCTGATCCCGCGTACCTGTCTCCGCAGGATTTGAGGGACACAGATGAACCACGCCCGGGGAATGGGGCTGGGCTGCTGGGTAGCCAGGGACACGGCCTCTCGGATCAGCCGGGAGCTGAGAGCCAGCCCTTTCCCTCCGGGCTGGGGAACTCCAGCTCCCCAGCATCCTTGAACCATCCCTGCCCTTCCTCTGCCTCCCCTGGAGGGTTTGAGACCCGAAGGAAAGAGGGGGAAGCCGCTGTATGAACTGAACTCTGAGTGCATGGTGGGAAAAGGACCCCTGGAGGCACCGTTCCTGCCAGAGCCCCCCAAGTACCCCAGTGACAGCAAAACACAGCCCTGATCCTGATTGCTGGAGCTGTGGAAGCATCCCTGCTCCTCTGGAACTCGGTCTACACTTACTGATGATCTTCCCCTTTGTTGATTTTCCCCTTTCCAGTATTTCCACTGAATGAACAGTCAAATTAAAATAATTGCTTAAACACTAAACAGAGCCTGGACCATGTTCTAAATAGCATCAGGTTTCTGAAGGGTTTATATTAATCAAATGCACTTGCTTTATTAACAACAGGGGCACATTCAAAGGTTTTGTATTAGTTTAAGGCTTTATTAATTCAAGTCAGTTAAGCTAGGTCCAAATTTTTAATTTTATCATGAGTTCCTTTTATTAATTACTTAGTTATAAATTGCTTATGAAATGTTTAGTCTAGAAAAACTGTTCTAATTAAGTAAAAGGAATACACTTCTGTTTATTAGTATATTTCAAAATTCGTGTGTGGGAATACTATCACCTCCAAATGCCTTCTAATTCACAGTTGTGCACTGCTCCATGATTGAAATGCATATTAGTAGGGTAGTAACATTATGTACTACTGCTGAGGAGCGTTTTTAAACACCTGAAAACAGCAAGTATCTTTTTAATTTGTTTTGAGCACTGAGCCTGTGACACACTGTCGGTTCTGTGCGATGCTGTGGCAGTACTGCAGCAAGGTGTTTTTTAACTACGATGGCCGGGGGATGCTTTGTTCGCTCAAATATTCAGCAGAAACCACAGATCTTAACGTGTGAAGGGGGCAGTTCTGCAGGGGAAAATTTCCCCGGAGCCCAGCACTGTGACAGGCATCACCCCGTTCCAGGGATGGGATCCAGGGATGCCGTCGCAAGGAGGGCTGCATTTCGCTGGTTCCCCTACGAACAAACGCCGGTCACGAGCCCATGTGGAGAACTGAAACCGGGAACCACCCGCTGGCCCCAGCACAAAGGGCCCCGGCTGGGGCCACCCGCGGGGGTTTCTGCTCAGGGATTTCAGAGGGACGGAGCGGGGGATCTGCCACTGTGCCTCCCGTCCCCTCCCTTCGGCACGGGCCCGCAGCCTCTGTGCCACCGCTGGCACTGACCCCCCCCCAGCCTCTCTCCAGCCTCTCCTTCCCCGGCGGGCCATGTCCGGTACCTCCGCGTCCGCGGCGTCCTCTCTCCTTCCCGCGGCCTCACGGGACCTCGGCCGCGCGTTTCCCCTCGGGGCGGGCGGAGGCGGCGGCGCCACCTCAGCCGGGGGCTGGAGCGGCGGCTGCCCCGGGGCCGTGAGGGGAAGGGCGGCTCCCGCTCC